GTCGACTCTAGAGGATCCCTCGCATGATTTTGTATTTAGTCTCGTCCCCATTGCACATTGCCATCAGAAGCTTCTTCGATTGTCGATAAGCCGAGCAACCTATTGAGTAGGTCATCAGTTGACACAGTTTCTGGAACCAACGATCGTCCCGGGGTATCGATTTCTTCCGATCGAGTTCATGAAGGTGTTGAGGGATGAGAAGGACCAGATCGGTGCAGGAGATTATGTAGGCGTCATTGCTGTTGGATGGCCAGTCGGAGGATTCTGGAAGTTTGGGAAATTGAATTTTTGAACTCCCGCTTAATTTCCGGAAATTTTGAAAATTCTTACTCAAAACGGCTGCATTCGGTGGATTGGCTGAACTCGAAACCAATGGAAGATGCGGCAACCAAACCTTCCTCTGATGTCCTCCCTCTACCGTACTACCCCTTGTAATCGTGGCGGGACCTCGGCCTTTCCACTCAGGAATCAACTTTTCCAGCACTTTAAAACACAAATCTCGAATTCCAACCGATTGAAGTTCTTTCAAAAGTCTCTCGGTGATCGCTTCGCTACACTCGCATCCAGCCTCACATCGTTTTTCCAGACAAACGAAAAGCAGCAGTTCGACAGAGCGCAGAAGCGAATAGTTGGCATAGGACTCCTCGGTGAACGGGTAGATTTGATCGGCGTCGTATTTGATTAGGCTAACGAGATGCGTGAAATGGTTAGCGACGACTTTCGAATCGAGAATCGCGACACAGCTGGCGAGCACTCGAGACAGATTGTACGATGGAGAGTCGGAAATGTTTTGCCACGTGGTGGTGGATTTGGATCTGAAGTAACTTGAAAACAGGTTAGAATCTGATTCTGGATGGCCTAGATTTTCATAATTAGGTCATGGTCCAATTTTGGAATTTCAGGTCATGGCCTAGATTTCCAAAATTAGGCCAGGACCTAGATTTTCAAAATTAGCTCATGACCTAGATTTTTAAATTAGGTCAAGACCTAGATTTTTAAAATTAGGTCAAGACCTAGATTTCCGAAATTAGGTCATGACCTATATATACAAAATTAGGTCATGGACTAGATTCAAAATTTAAGACTTTCAAAATTAGGTCATGACCTAGATTTTTTTTCTAAAGTTAGAATTCTCGAATTAGGTTATGACCTAGATTTTCAGCATTCCAAAATTTCAATGTTTGGGTCATGACCTAGATTTCGGAAACTTTCAAAATTAGGCCATGACCTAGATTCCCGGAATGTAGACTACCGTACCTCGTCAGCTTGTTCAAAACCATGTTAATCAGCAATTGCAACCACTGCGTATCATCTGCCTCGTGCGATTGCTTGATTCCATTAATCTGAGAAATCAATACTGAATCCGAGCTCTCTTCGACAATCTTCGGACACCCGTAGAACTGTCCAATGCCAGATTCCGCGACTCGAGTGACACGATAACCAATTCTATGATGGAATATCTCCAGGGTTTTCGCCTGTTTCTTCATCGAATTCTCATATCTTGTGATCGTCTCCTGCACTGCTGATCTCATGTCGTTTGCCAAGTGATAAGTCGGTTGATCTGTGAAAATGTCCAAAAAGATTTGAATCAAATGCTCCGAATCGTCGGAGGTCGTATGGCTCAGAAGTCCGAAGACCACTTTTACGATGGCCTGAGCAATCATTGAGCATCTGTGAAGTGGCATTCGTTTCATTTCCTCAATCATTATCTCAACGAATTTCGTCACTGAACCATTGAATTCGTGTTTCAGCGTCTTGTAGAAGAATGCCCATCGGGTACGGACCGCTTGGAGACGGATGAGCAATTGCTCAATGTAGTTGGTACGCATTTCGTGGAAACCTACGGCGTCTGTCCATTCGGGAAGGGCCTTCCATTCTTGGAGATACGCGCTGTCGATGATTCTGGAAAAGGATTGTTTGGATTTTTGGGGAATTTGAAATTCAAATTTTCTAGAATTTAGGTCAAATTTAAATTACTGTATACATCTTTAAAAGGGGGTTCGCCCCTTCAATCGAATTCCCCACCTATTTTTACACCTAAAACAAATATTTCGAGCGATTTGTGCATTTTGTCGTAAGGTTCGGTTTTTGGTTTGGTGTTTGCACACAATCGGGGCTACAGTAACCCGAAAATACAAAATTGGGGGTTAGAGACGCAGAAAAGTGGTTTTTAGGGTAGTTTTTGATGGGAAACTCGAATTTGATATTGATTTTTACCCATATTTAATATTTTAGACCTGTTCAGGTTTTCCAGCTGTTTTCAAGGATTCTTTTTCGATTTTTCCGAGTTGTTGTGGTCTGAAAATTGATGGAATGGTGTTCGTGAAAATTTCTGTAGGTTACTGTAGGTTTTTCTATTTGCATTTTGCCGTGATTCTGTTTGTGGAAAAAACTACTACAGTAACCTACAGTAATCTTCTCGAACACCGTTCCATCAAATTTCAGACAAAGAAAAACCGGCTGGAAATCCTAAAAAGGTCTAAATATTTTGCAAAATTGGAACAAAAAAAATATCAATTTTCTCTAAAAATATCAAATATGGGTAAAAATTAATATCAAATTCGAGTTTCCCATCAAAAACTACCCTAAAAAACCACTTTTCTGCGTCTCCTACCCCCAATTTTGTGTTTTCGGGTTACTGTAGCACCGATTGTGTGCAAACACCAAACCAAACACCGAACCTCGCGACAAAATGCACAAATCGCTCAGAAATAGTTGTTTTAGGAGTGAAAATAGGTGGAAAATTCAAATTTGCTACACATTTTAATGTTAAAATCGAAGAAAAAATCATTTTTTTTTGAAAAATTGCAAGAAATCAATAATTTTGAAATTTTCCAATTTTCTGAAAATCAGAAAATCCCTTAATATCTGAAAATTTGATTATTTCAAAACTTTTGAACTTTTCAGTTAATTTTCTACACATTTTGATGTATTTTCTGAATATAAAGTTCCCAAATTTTGAACTTTTCGATCAAATTTAAAAATTTTCAAATACCTAAACAAATTCTCATCCAAATTTCCGGGACTATTCGCCCTGATAATTGCTCTCAGAGCTGCTCCATAAACCATCGGATGATTCAGTTTCCTAGATAAATGTTTCTTCGCCTGTCGCTCCGCCCACTTTTTCTCCAATCCCGGAAATCCCAAAACGGCGAAAACCAATCGATTGGAGGTACTCAAAACGGGTTGTCTCTCAAATCGCGGCTGAACTTCGTCCATTTGATCTCGATCACATCCGTACAACTTCAGAGATCGGATTTTGATAGTGTTTTGTGTTGATTTGGGAATCACTTCGATCGATATCTCCCGGTGGTCCATGTTTAGAGATTCCTCTCGTGAGAGACGCAGATCGAAGGCTTTATGTTCTCGAGAGTTGATTGAATAGCGAGTGCCACCGATTTTGAGGAAATCTGGACCTGTTGGACCTTCCACCTCCACACGAATCATTCGAACGATTTGTCTGAAAGTATTGATTTTTAATGATTTTTCTTTCAATTTCCGGATTTTTTGAAATTTCGATTTTCCGAGTTTTGGATTTTTCAATTTGCCAATTTTCGAGTTTCGGAACTTCATAATTTTCGAAATCCCAAATTTTGAAAATTCCGAAATTCCAAAATTTGAAACATTTGGAAAATCGAGAATTCCGAAATTTTAAAGATTGGAAAATTTGAAAAATCAAAAATTCCAAAATTTGAAAAAACGGAAATTTTGAAATTTGGAAAATTTGAAAAATCCAAAATTTGGAAAATTCCAAAATTTCGAAATTTAGAAAATCAAAAATTTGGAAAACTTGAAAATTCTGAAAATTGGAAAACAGATTACCCGAATTTTTAAAAATCTAGGTCACGACCCAAATTCCAAGTCAATCTAGGTCAAATTTGGATTTGTAGGTCATGACCCAGATCATGGCCTAGATTTCCAAAATTAGGCCATGACCTAGATTTCCGAATTCGGGTCATGACCTAGATTTCCACATGGCCTAGATTTCCAAAATTTGGGTCACGGCCTAGATTTTTTTTAATTTGGGTGATTCAAAAATTAGGTCGTGACCTAGATTTCCAAAACTTTGAAATTAGGCCATAGCCCAAATCAATGCTCACCTCGAATTAGTAATCCTGGCCAACAACGTGAAATGTGTCTGCTGAACTACCGTAATCGGCATACAATTCTCCTGAACCGCCGCCATCCGATGATTCAACTCATCATGCGTGTAGAATGCCTCAATCTCCCTACAACTCCAATCAACACTTCCAATTGGCTCTATCTGCTCAGCCATCAGCACAGCATCCCGCTTATCCAGAGGACGTGGTGTGGCGCCTTGTGTATCCACTATCTCCACCGCGAACCTCTCACTAGGCACGTCTTCAATCCATAAGTCATGTGTCAGTTGCCACGTGGTTTCCCAGATTTCACAAGTCGGGAGATCAGCGAACAGCAAGCAAGAGTAGATGGCTTGTTTTTTAGAACTGATAAGCAGGAAGTAGGTAGAGATTGGCCGTTTTACATGCGTCTTTTGAATCAATATCTTATCTTCTTGGGGTAGAAAATAGATCACTTGATCTGAGATCTCTTTGGACAGACACGAAATCAACCCAGCTGACTCTCTCCACACTTCTACTGGCCATTTGATATTCAACAACTTCCAATCGTAAATCGGCGGAGATCCAGCGTCGGGAAGACGTGCCACGTAGAGAGCTGTATCCAGTGAAACGAAAAGTAGATCAAAAGTGGATGAGTAGTGAAGAGAGACACCGTCTCCGTTCATATCCATTCCGGGAGTATTTACGACGTTCGTCAGGAATATCGAGTTGTTGTCGGCTGAGCAGTCGGTGATGTTGTGCTCGTAGAGATAGCCGGATGAGGCGAGCACGAGGATGCGGATGTTTCCATTGTCCTGATTCAGAATTACGACGTCTTCTACGTTTCCAGTCGTCAGGACCATCTCTTCGACGAAATCCGAATCGTGGAGGGTTAGGTCGTAGACACGGATATATTGCATTGTGGCAACTGGAAATTTAGATTTTGAGATTCTTGAAATTTTGACATTCAAAATTAGGTCATGACTTAGATTTCCAATATTAGGTCATGACCTAGATTTTCAAATACTTCAAAAATTCAAAAATTGGGTCATGACCTAGACATGCAGAAATAGGCCACGACCTAGATTTCCCAAATTAGGTCATGACCTAGACTTGGGTTTTTATGTCACGACCTAAATTTTCAAAATTAGGACGTGACCTAGATTTCCGAAATTGGGTCGTGACCTAGATTCCTAAAATTTGGGTCATGACCTAGTTCTCCAGAAGTTTAAAAACTCAAAATTAGGTCATGACCTACATTCTAAAAATTTCCAGATTTCCAAAACTGGATCATGACCTCGATTTTTTAATTTAGGCGTTGACCTAAATTTTAAAAATTAGGTCATGGCCTGGATTTCCTAATTTTCAAAATCAGAATTTGGGTCATGACCCAGATTTGCAAATGACCTAGATTTTCAAAATTCGAAAAAAATTACCTGCTATCAACTGTCTCTTCTTCTTATCCCCTCTGGTCTCCTCACAAAACATTGCCTTCCTGACTGGATTGTTCTGCATCGATGACGAATTTCCATTCTCCAGCAGTTTAATGTGCGCTCTATCGATAACAGTTCCTTGCGGTGAGAAGCGGAGAGCGTAGATCTCATAGACACCACAGACAACAACCCTATTGCCAGACACGTGTAGAGAGACTGCGTTGAATGGAATCTGTTCGGTTTCTGTTCTCAAAAAATGCATTCCCTGGAGTAGATGGGTTCGGGTGTCCATGTAGTGGAGGTGGAGAGACGTTTGAATCGAGTCTGGAATCATTACGAGCAGTTCGGTGCCGTTGTCCAGTTTGATGACGTCGGCGAGCTCTCGTTGGCGGGGGAGGGCGCTGGAGTTGTGGGTGTCGTGGATGCGGATATCGGAACGACGGATTGGGAGGAAGTGACCGGCTGGAAAAGAAGGATATTGAATATTCTAGGAATTTTGAATCTAGAAAACTAGAAATCCAGGAATCTGTAAGAATCCAAGAATCCACAAATTCAAGAATCTAAGAATCTAAGGATATAAGAATCTAATCCTATAGGTCCCAGCTACCGTAATCCTGAAGGTCTTAACTATCGTAATCCTGTTGGTTTTAACTACAATAATCCTAGAGGTCTTTATTACCGTAATCCTATAGGTTCTATCTACAGCAATCCTATAGGTTCTAACTACCGTAATCCTGAAGGTCGTAACTACAGTAATCCTGAATGCTCTAACTACCGTAATCCTATAGGTTCTGACTACCGTAATCCTGGATTTCTTTGAATTGTTTACTTTTTCTGAGCTCCTAAGTCTTTGAATTTTCGAATTATCGAAATTTCAAGAACCCAAATTTCCAATTTTTCCATTTTTCATAAAGTTTGGCTCACCCGAATCCAACGCCTCCATGAATTCCTCGTTCTCCTCCAACTCGACTCTCTCCATATTTCTCATCGATTTCACTATCTTTTCTCGTTTCTCGGTGACTCTCAACGCCTTCTGATTCCCCTTATCGATTGCTTCCAGAATCTTCTCAATCGATTCATGCGCCTTTTCGAATTCCTCTTGAACCAGCCTCACCGCATTTTTGACAGTTTCAAATCCAGAATTCGAGAATTTCGAGAATTCTGGTTTGAAAAATCCAAATTTATACGGAAAGATATTCGGATTCTTTGGCGACGCCTTCTGAACCATTCCATCGGGTATTTGTCCTCTCAGCGCGTTGATTGGATGTGGAACATGTTCCACTTGTATTATCATTGATTCACATCCATTCGAACCACAATCACAGAAGAATGCTCCCTTCTTTGAGTACGCCAACTCGTGTCCACGATGGCAATTGATTGCACATGTACTACAGACGCCTGTCGATTCGATCATCTTGCAAGTGTAGCAGTTGTACCAGTGTTGGGTTACGAATTCTGAAAATTTTTTGAAATTGATGGATTCTGAGGGATTCTGAATCATTGAAATTCTATTATCTTTCGCTACAGTATCCCAAACTATAGAGTTCTCCTTACTTTCAAAGCACCTCATCTACAGTAATCAATTGTCAATTTCAAATTACAGTAATCGTTATCTACAGTGATTCGTCATCGCTGTGAGATACCGTAATCCCAAGCTACAGTAACATTTTTTTCTGTTTCAGCTACAGTAATACCAAACTGAATTAATTGCTCATCTTTTTCAAAGTACAGGAATCCTCTTTTATAGAAATCCTCGAACTAAAGTAACCTGAAGCTACAGTAATCCTTATCTGTGATCATTTTTCATTGGTACAGTAGTTTTGGAATTTGGAGGATCCTGAGAGATTAAGAGTAGTTCTGGATCATTGAAATTCCATTATGTTCGGCTACAGTAATCCCAAACGATAGATGTCTCTCCTTACTTCCAAAGTACAGTACCTCATCTACAGTAATCTAATCCTGAGCTACAGTAGTCCCAAACTACCGTAATTCTCTACATTAACAGCTTCATCTTTTAAAGTACAGTAATAATTAACTACAGTGATCCTCATCCCCAGTAATCTCTTATCCGTTTCAGCTGCAGTAATCCCCATATCAAATTGGCTACAGTAACCTCTACAGTAATCACAGATTTACTCCTGATACAGTAACCGGTAACTACGGTAACCTCTTCGCCGTTTGAAGTTACAGTAGTCAAAGCTACAGTTATTTATCATTGCTCCAAGATTAAGTGTTCCCAAATTGCAGTAATTCTCCACTACAGTAATCTGAAGCTACAGTAATCCTGAACTACAGTAACGCATAAACAGATAACTTTTTTATGTTAAACTCACAGTGAACTGGCTACAGTACAGATTCACTCCTTCTACAGTAGCCTACAGTAGCCTTACACTACGATTTTTACAAGTGATTCGTGATCCCTGTGAGATACCGTAATCCCAAGCTACAGTAACCTTTTCTCTGCTTCAACTAAAGTAATCCCAAGCTGAAGTTATTTCTCATCCCCTTCAAAGTACAGTAACCCTCCTTTATAGCAATCCCCGACCTACAGTAATCCTCATCTATTATCATCTTTCATCGGTTTCAAAATACAGTAGTCCTTATTTGAAATAATCATAAACTTATCCTCATATCTTCGTCTACAGTAGTATCTTCTCTGTGTCAAGTACAGTAACCGTCAGCTACAATAGACAACTACTGTCATCGCTCTATTCAAAAATACAATAATCTTTGACCGCCGTAATCATTGATAGCTTCAAGATACAGTAATCCCAAAAACGAACCTTCAAAAAACTACAGTAATCTTCATATGCAGCAGTCCCAAACCAAAGTAATTCGTCATTCATTTTAAAGTACAGTAATCTCTCCTAAAAAAACCTCATCATATTTTGAAATACAGTAGGTCTCGATATGAATTCCCAGCAGTCTACAGTAATCCCGGACCTTTTCATTCTTCAGTAACATTCGAATACAGTAACCAATTCATATTTTCAAGGTACGGTAATTTGAAGTCACAGCAATCTTTTCTCTGCTTTAACTACAGTAGTCCCAAACCGAATTAATTTGTCATTCATTTCAAAGTACAGTAACCCTTCTTTATAGCGATCCCCGAACTACAGTTATCCTTATCTATGATCATCTTTCATCGGTTTCAAAGTACAGTAGTCGTTATTTGAAATAATCTTAAACTTATCTTCGTCTACAGTAATCTCTTGTATGTTCCAACTACAGTAATTGTCAGCTACAATAGACAGCTACTGTCATCGCTCTATTCAAAAATACAGTAATCTTTGACTACCGTAATCATCGCTTCGAGATACAGTAATCTCTCGAAAAGACTTACTATTTCCAGTGCTCTTAAAAGTGCAAAAATTGAAATCCAGCTCATTTTTGTGATGTCCCTTCTCGGCATGTCCATTCTTTTTTACACTATCATTTCGTGCTCGAATATCCGAATCCTGAAGTAAAAACGCGCGGATTACTGTATCCTCTGTCGGCTCGACGGGCGGTTCAATGCACAATTGTTGATAGAGACAATTGAAGAAACCAATGAATTCCGTGAGAATCGTCACATCCGGAATGATTCGTTTTTGAGAGTTCTGGAAAATTTTGGGATTTGAAATTTTTCAAAAACCTTGAATTTCTTGAATTTCTCACCTCCACAATAATCGTGTCCCCACTTAAAATGCCCGAATTCTCCAGAATTTTCGCTGGAATCGTTCTCACCGCCTCCTGAATCCGCGCCAAACAATACAGATGCACATTCTCGGTTCCATAACTACAGATTAGCTCCAAAATCGTTTGAATTCGAAACAGCTTTCCATGCACTGGATCTTTCAAATAGTACTCGTTCAGTGTGTTCAGCGAGGAGTTTCCATATTTCTCTGTGGTTTGTACTTTGTAGTCGGGGTGATTGATGAGTCCCTGAATACAGTCTTCGCGGAGGAATAAGTCGAAGATTTGCTCGAGAAACAGTTCGATGGTCTGACGGTGTTCTTTGGCGAGGTCTGGGAACGTGAAGATCACTTCGAGGAATTGTTCGAAACGCGACGAGTAGTTGAAGGGCTGCAAACAATACGTTGAAATTCAAAAAGTTGAAAAATTCAAAATTTTGATTTTTGGAAAAGATGTCATGACCTAGATTTTCGAAAGTAGGTCATGGTCTACATTTCTAAAAATTGGGTCATGACCTAGATTTTCAAAATTAGGTCATAACCTAGATTTTAAAGATTAGGTCATGACCTAGATTTTCAAAATTAAGCCATGACCTAGACTTTCAAAATGGCCTATATTTCAAAATTTCGAAATTTGGGTCATGACTTAGATTCTCAAAATTAGGTCATGACCTAGATTTTTAAAATTTCCAGATTTCCAAAACTGGGTCATGACCTAGATTTTTAAAATTAGGTCATTACCTACATTTCCGAAAATTTGGCCTAAATATCAGTGATTAGAAATACCGAAAAATCGAAAGTTCAGAGAATTCAAACATTGAGTCAGGGCATAATTTCAAAACTAAATAATTGTTAAAATTTTAAAAATTATAGAAATTCCAAAATTCGAAATTTCAAAAGTCCCAACCTTAACATTGGGCTCCATCCATCTGACAATCTTATCCATATGACCAGCAATGAACTCGACAAACTTCTTACTAGCGACCGAAATCGCTTCAGGAGTCGTCCCATCCAATTCAGCCACTTCTATCGTTCTCAACCGAAACCAACAGTGATGTGCCAAATGGAGAATCGATTGGATGTGTGTTCCAAAGTCTGTAGCTCTGACGTCATCTGAGAAGTCGTCAAGCCATTCGAGGAATCCTCCCAGACGATGATTGACCTTCTCGATTGGAAGATCGTTGGTCCATTGTTTCATGTCGGTGGCGACGATTTCGTTGAAGATTCGAAGGAAGAAGCGACGGAATGAGCTGGAAAACGAGAATCTCTAGAATTTGAAATTTTCGATTTTGGATAATTTCAGAAATCCAAATTTCCAAATTTCCAGAATTTCAAAAACCAAAATTCGGTAAAAATTCTGATTCTCGAAATTCAGAAGCCTAGAAATTCCAGAATATCGAAATTCAGAAATTTGAAGAACTCGAAATTCAGGATCCGGGACGTTTCAGAACCACGACGTTTCAGAATATTTCTGCACTTCTGTATAGTGGTTTTTGCATACCAAATGAGCATTGCTCATTTCAATTTCGTGCTTTTCTGCTTTCTTATTCGTTCTCATCTACCGTACTCTAAATAATGATACGTTCACACTTGGAATCTCTCAAAAAATCGAAAAAAAAAATTGAAATTTTCAAAAACGGTGTCTAGAAGTACGCAAAAATGAGATTCAGATTCGCCGGTACTTCCAGATGTCGTTTCTGAAAATTTCAATTTTTTTCGATTTTTTGAGAGATTCCGAGTGTGAACGTATTACTATTTGGGGTACGGTAGATGAGAACGAATGGAGAAACAGGAAAGC